TAAGGAACTCACTGAGCAGTCTGCTCCGTTAGGGTCCTGGCCGCACCCCCAGCCTCATGCCCTACAGTCCCCCATTCCCAGCCCTGCTGGTAGGGGAGGGTGGGCGTCAGCTCCTTGCTATTGAAGAACCCCATCTCGATCCTGGCACACCTTTTTGAGGCCAGCTGACAGCACTCATGCCAGCCTGATAAGAGGCTTGGGGGACCCTTGCGCACCCCGCTTACGAGGCCCTGCCACCTCCACGTGGCCTCGTGCCTGTTATTCTCCACCTCTCCGCACACAAAGAGGCCTGGTGCTGTCGCTGGTGCTCAGCTGCTGGAGTGGGAGGGCAGGCAGTGGTGAAAAGCTTTTCTGAAAGGCCAGGGCGGCGGCAAGAATCACCCAGGTGATCCGAGCCGGTCCCCTGGGACCCCAGCCCAGGACCACAGTGAAAGGTTACTGCTAATTGGCGAGCTCCTGATGGGGCCGCATCTATTTAGCACTCCCCACTCCCCAGAGACTTCCAGGATGGTCTTGGCACAGCGTGTGATTCGAGAGCTCCCCGCCCGAGTCTGGCACAATCTGTCTGATACTGTGAACATGGAGCCTCTTGGTTTTTTAATTTGTATTTCCGTTGTTGTTGTTCTCTGCCCATTGTTTCCGGTAGATTTAGTAGCAGCAGCCACCCTGACTCTGGTACCCCCCTCCCCGGGGCCCTCTCAGCAGGCTCCTTCCACTCCCCGCCCCTCAGACCTACCATCGGAGGCCTTCCCGGGTCAGGGAGCAGCGCCTCCCTGCCCCCGACCCGTCGCCAGGCCTCAGGGCCCAGCTCTCACCCTGCCATCATCGCTGACACTAACACAGCTTGTCCACCCTGTCGCAGGGGGCAGATGGCCTGTCGGAGCCGGAGGGCATCTCTCTGAAGCGGGTCGCTGTGGTGGAAGATTTCTTTGACATCATCTACTCGATGCATGTGGAGAGCTCAGCGGAGCCAGGCAAAGCCCCCAAGCACGCTGGGCAGAAGAAAACCTACCGAGCGGTGAGATTTCTGTCTCTTTGCCTCCGCTGGCAGCCCCAGGCCTTGGCAGGAGGCCACGGGCTCCGCACATGTTGGGCAGGGGGCGGGGCAGGGAGCTGAGGCGTGATGAAACGGCCTTTGGGGACCCAGGGGGGCACAGGGCAAGGGCATGGCAGCCAGAGATGGCTTGTGGGCCGAGGGGGCGGGTTCTGTGGTCTCAGCACAAAGGAGAAGCAGGTTGAAGGGAGTGAGAGGGAGGGAAGGAGAGGGACGAGGGCAGGAGGACAGCCCTCCACTTCCCGGTTTCTGCTTCACTCGTTCCCCCCAGCCCTGGCAGCCCGCTCTGGGGTGGAGGGTGGCCGGGGGACTAGATAATAATAATCGGAAGGGCAAGTGCTTCCGTGGCATTTACTGTGTGCCCAGTGTGTGAGGTCATTCCATCCCCTACGACCCTGTGAAGTCAGTGCTGGAAGTCCCCCGGGGAAAGTCTGAGGACTGGGGCCCCACTGTCAAGGGGATCACAATTCGATTTGTGGGAGGGAGGCTGAGAGCAAAACCAAGCCATGAAAAACAGAAATGTCTCCAAGACTAGCTTTGAGGGGATAAGAACCCCGGTCCCTGGGCGTTCAGCAAAGGCACCTCCAGACACCAACGTTCAGTGCTAAGCCAGGGGGGCTTCATGGAGAAGGTGGCCTGTAAGCTGGCATTCTAAGCTTTGGGAAGACAGGAGGGAACAGAGATGGCAATCTAGGGGTGGGAAACATCGCATGGGGAGGTGGAGGGGCCGTGGCCAGATCAGGAGGGGCCTGCCTGGGTTCTGGTCCGTCCCCCATTGACCCCCATCACCATGGCTCACGCCCAGCTCTGAACCACTTGTCCAGTGCCCACCACTAAACCAGTAGAGCCAAGCACCTTCCTTCCGTTCATTCAAGGCTCTCAGCAGTCCTGCGACAGAGGCACTGTGGTCCCATTTGACAGTTAAAGAAAGTGAGACCCGGAGAGTTGAGTGACCTGTCTAAGGTTATCCAGCACCTGAGTTGCAGTCAGCGGTGTCCTCAAGCCCCCGTGTGTCGACTTTCTCTCTAGCTTCCTAGAGAAGCCCCTCAGTGACCTGCCTTCTGTGACTGGGCTTACCCCCTCCAGGCAGAGGTGACCCAGCCCCCTCGCCAAGGTCTTTGTACAAACACCTGGGACTGCAGTGGAGGTGGTCTGTGCAAGTCTGTAATTCCCCCCTGTGGCCTGATTTTTAAAACTCCAACATTCTACTACTCAGCCATTAAAAAAAAAAAGATGAAATCGTCCCATTCGCAACCACATGGATGGACCTTGAGGGTATTATGTTAAGCGAAATAAGCCAGACAGAAAAAGACAAACACCGTATGATTTCACTCATATGTGGAATATAAACTAACAAATTACAGACAGAGAGAACAAATTAGTGGTTACTGGGGGGAGGGGGGTGGAGGGTGGGCACAAGGGGTGAAGGGGCACATTTATATGGTATATGACAAATGATAATGTACGACTGGAATCTCACTATGTTATAAGCTATTATGACCACAATTAAAAAAAAATCCAACATTCTGATTTGTCCTTGTCCTCAAAAGACAGCCTTTGCCCTAAATGACTCTTAAGGACTGTCCCACGTGCCAAGGACCTCAGAGGGATGAGGGGTCGGACTGAGGGAAGCAGGACGTGATTCTGCCACCTGCCCGCCAACACATGCGTGTTGGGAAATGCATCATGGGAAGGGAGTTCTGAGGGTTCCTCCACCAGAGGGTCATAGACGAAGGGAGGGACACTTAGGCTGGGCCAGTGTGGGCCCCTTGGTATTGACGAGACCCAGCGCATTTTCTCAGCATTCACTTTGGCGGGGCTGGGCAGGTAGCCTGTGCCAGGCTCTGCACACGGCACTTCCCACACTCCAATTCCCTGAGCCTTCCCATGTATGACAGTGGTGTGTACGAAGCAGGCGCTACTGTTAGCCCCATTTTACAGATGAGGAAAATGAGGCTCAGAGGGATGCATAAACTGCACCTGACCACTGCACCTCCTGCCTCTCTCCAAACCTCCTGTGGCCAGCTAGTAAGCCCGATGACTTGCTGTTGTCCAGGTCGATGGCCTTGGGCCAGCCAGACCGTGTGATTCCCTGGTCCCCTCGGTGCCAAGCACCACACCCCCCCCAACAGGCGCTCCCTGGGTATTTATGAAAGTCGGGGTCTGCAGCCTCCTTGCTGTGGAGAAGGCAGGGTTGGGCTGGTCCTGCCAGACTTTGCGTCCCTGGGCCAAGTGGACATACAGCCCTTTGCTCTGCACTTCCTGGCTTCTCGTCCATATGCCTGCCGCGTGCCCCACTTCCTGCTGCCCAGCCTGGAGCTGGCACATGACTGGCGGCGAGCCAGCTGGGCTGTGCACAGAGCTGGAATTTCAGCAGCAAGCCAAGGCTGCGTGGAACAGGCCAGGACCCTCCTGCAGTGGGTGTGAGGCCGAGGGGGCTGTCACCCCCTCTCCCCCCATGGGCCCCCCCTCCTCTTCCCCATCTGTCACCCGTCTCATGCCACCCTCTTCCTTTTTTGGGGTGGGGGTGGTGCCCAGATGCCTTTGTCCCCCTCTTTTCATCTCCTCCCATTTTCCTCCACCCAAGCCTAGCTCCTCAGCCGCATCCATGCCTGTGGAAAGAGGACCCCCAGGAACCTCGGTGCTGACGGCTGCAGAGAGGCACAGCCTGGCCCCGCGGGGCTGGTGTCAGGCCCTTGGCTGAGGGGTTCATGGACCTGAATCCTGGGGCTGCCTCGCCGTCTCTAGGGCACCTGAGACTTTCTGGATTCTTACAGCCCGGGGTGCCTGTAGCAGGCAGTCCCTTGGAAGGCAGATGGGCAGACTTGTTCAGGGCATGGAAAGAGGCACATTCTTCAGTGGGAAAAAAAGATTCCAGCACCTCCCACTGTCCAGTAATGGATCAGAGAGGGCAGGTCATCAGTTTTCTGAAACTGAGGGATGTGAGCCAGGGGTAGGTGCCTATTGACAGTGGATAATGTAGGCGGATTCCTACTTTGGACAGGAAGCCCCTGCCTTACTTTGCCTCTGATGCAGTGTGACCTGAGGTCCAGAGGATGCCAGGGGGTCTTTCCAGTGCCAGGGTCTGGGGAGGGTTCCACGCAGTTCCACAAAGTTCCTGAACCCGCATGGAGGACTGGTCCTTTGTCAAGAGGCTTTTCTGGTGTCTGCACCCGTCTGGGTTGGAGCGAATGCCTCTGCTTCCTTCCTCTCTCCCCGGGTGCTGGTAGGCTAGGTCGGGTTCCGGAGTCCAGATCTGGCTGCCCAGACCACTTTGCAGTTGGGGCCAGATGTGGTCAGCAGCTGCTCCAGGCCCACCACGTGCTAATCCACCCGCAGGGCAGAAGGAGGATCTTGCAAAGTGGTGCAAATCCCCCCAATTGGCCTCATCTGTCTTTGTCGGCCTCTGAGTTGGGGAGCGAAAATGGGGCCTTGCAAGTCAGCGACTCTGCAAATAGCTTCTGCTCTCCCTGCCAGCAAAATCTCTCTCGCTTTTTACCCCTAGGAAAAAACGTTAAGGGCAAATTCACGTGCGGGTCTCAGTGTCCAGGCGAGAGGCCCCAAGAACAAGGCAGCAGGCAGCCCAGGGCAGTTGAGGGGAACTCGGGGTGGGGGACAGGAGTCCTGGAGCTTCTCCTCCTTAAACACAGCAGCTCCGTCTTTATCTGTTTCACGTTTTGGGCTTCAGCATAAGATTCTATTTCCAGAACGGTGTCTGTAGCTCTAAAACTATCTGAAAACCGCCATCCTACTGCCTAGAGCATCAGCTGGGCTTGTCCTCCTCATTTCAACTCACCCTGTGGTCCTGTGGCCTTGGGCATCCATGCAGTCAAACAGAATTGGAGGTCCCATTTCTCATGTGGACAAGCCAGGAGGGTGAACGAAATGATGCCCGCAGGTTGAAGGCCCCAGTGGGGGGAGGTGGCCTCCTTCATGCGGGTCCCTGCAGCGGCGGCGTGGAGCTGGGCTGCACTCTGCACTTTTCTGACTCCCCAGGGAGCTGTTAGCAAGGCTGCAGACATTCCAGCCATGCAGGGCTGGCCTTCCCTGCCTGGTCCTCAGACAGCTCCAAGGACTTCTCACCTACCCACCTTCGGTCCACCCCATCCACCCCTCTGTGGGACCCAGGGCCAGGAGGGCTGCACCCAGCACTTCTCCTCCCTGTGGCACGCCAGCCAGCCTGTGCCTGGTGCTGGGGTCCCCGCCAAGGCCAGAGAGTGGCGGCTACCACTCTGGCCCCTGGGGAGGCTAGGAAGGCTCTCCCCGAGCCCTGTAAAACCTATTTCTCTGTCCAATGGCAGGTGAGCACCGTGTAGTGAAGTGGGGCTGTCCCTGTGGTATCAGCCTTTCCTCTTTTTCCCAGGACCCTGTGACCCTTTCCTGCCCCCCCAAGTCCTCCGCTCAGCTCTTCTGAGGCCTGACATGGGATGCCACACTTTGGGGCGCCTAGGAGGTCATCTCTTGGCCAAGTCGGCCACAGCCCTCTGGTTGGCCCAGCGGGTGCCCTTCCTTCTTGCCTATTTACTCCGGCAGCTGGCCTTCCTTCAGGAGGGCCCCTCCCACCTAACTCCTCAGGCTGAGAGAGACATGCTGCCGCTACGATTTCCAGGCAGCTTCGGGCTGGGGATGAAGATGTCCATGTGCGTGGCAGGGAAGCCCCCATCCCGCGGCCCTAACACCCGAGGAGGACGGGCCACATGCCCTCCTACCCACCGGCTCCAATCAGAGAGCAGGGGTTTGCCCTTGTCCCTGACCTCCAGAGGAAGGCAATCACACAGGGAATTTGGAAGGGAGATAACTCATCAAGGAGCCTGCCTGCTCCGCAGAGCATCAAATCAGCTGAGAAATAACAATTGTGTCACCAGAATTAACTCTGCGTTTGCGGCCAACCGCCAGGCAGGAGCGGCCCCTGGAGCTCCACAGGCCTGCTGAGCTGGGAGCACAGCCTGAGCTGGTCCTCCCAGGGCCTGGCCACAGCCTGGGGCACCCTGGACTCCTACCTCTCCCCTGACCCCATCCATTCCGCCCTGCCCTGCCCCGCCTCCTGACACCACAGAGATGGGGCAGGGCGTGTGCCTCCCAAAGGAGCAGACCGGGCACCATCCTGGAGATCAGCCCCCTTCCCCTGCGGGCTGACCAGCGCCCTCGGCCAACTTTGCTGGCGGGGCTGCGGAGAGGATGGTGGAAGACTGGGGTGATGCTGCCCCTTAGTGGAAAGGAGCGGGAGGGCCTGGGCTCCTGGAAAAGTGCGAAAACCAGCAACTGGGTGGCTACTGGCCTCAGCCAGGGAACCTAGGCTTACAAGGTCCCTCAGCCTGTGGGTTTCCCAAACCCCAGGGCAAGAGGACCGGGCTGGGCTTCTGGGCCCACATCCTCGTCTTCCCCACTCCCCCACCCCTAGCCTCTTTCTTGTGTTCCCTCTCATACCCCCTTTCTCCTCCCTAGCTAGGGGAGGCCCTCTGGAGGCAGCTGTGAGGTGGTGTGACCTGGAGCACGGGCTTTAGTATGGCACTGCCTCTAAAGAGCTGTGTGACCTTTGGTCAGTGGGTTCACCTCTCTTGGCCCCGTGACCATGACCTCACCTGGAATGTGGGGGTCCCTAAGAGCCCGTCCAGTTTGAAAAATCTGATCCCTTGGCATCAGCCTTTCACAGCTCTCCCTAAAACGGTTCTTGATCTGTGAGTTATGAAAAGATACAGCTTGTAGAACCGTGGGTTCTGTTTCCAGGCCCTGAGCCAGTTGAATTCTAAGTGGGTCTCAGTTTATCCATCTCTAAGGGGGGAAATTGTTTCATCCTACCCTGGAATGAGCAGCAGTAAAATGTTCTGAGAGGAATATTACTTATTAGAACAGGGGTTAAAGACTAGATAATGTTTAAATATTGTGCTTTTTCAATTTCTAAGCTCCTTTATTCAAAAATTTAAGACAAATGGGTTTCTGCAAACGTACTGACTCATTTCCATGGCTGAGAATCAAGGCCACCTGCCCCTTGCTCCTTGAATCCTTGCCCTTCCTGGCAAAGGGCAAATGCCTGCCACCAAAGCACAGCCCTCGGTGACCCAGTGACCACGCGGCCTCCCCACAGATCCGTATGACGAGCACACCTCCTCTCTCCCCCAGATCGCGGAGACCTATGCCTTCCTTCCGAGAGAGGCCGTGACCCGCTTCCTCATGAGCTGCACGGAGTGTCAGAAGAGGATGCACTTCAATTCCAACGGCCTGGAGCCCAAAGGTAGGGGAGGAGGCGGGCGAGCTGGAGGCTCGGGGAGGCCGTGCAGGGAGAGGCTCTCCCACCGCACGGGTCTCCCTTTGCTGGCACAGACAGAAAAGTCCCATCCAGCAATTGTCACAACTCCCAGAGGCCACTGTGGGTCCATGGGGCTGCCCACGGAGCCTCATTTGGGTTTGTTTTTTTTTTAAATGTCAAGTTTCCCTTAAAAATCAACAGTATATTCCTATTGCCTTCAAGACTGTCTTCTCCCACCGAAGTTCTGGATGGAAGTGTCACCTCGCCTCATTCCCTAGGCTCTGGAATTTGTGCCACCCAGGTCTCACCCTGGGCAGTGTCTGCATGGGTCTGGTCTCGCTGACCTGACTGTAGGCTCTCTGAGGACAGGGCACACCCCTCGCCTTGTGCGCCCTCCTACCCTACAGCCACACACCTGTCAGCAGGAGGTCCTCCCTGAGTGCTTGTTTCCTCCTGGGGCACACCCAGGAAATCTGTGGGGAGTGGGTAGAATTGAAAATGCCCAGAGCACTTGTGACCGACCAAGTTGGTGCCTTGGACTGACGTCCATACTGTCCAGCTCTGCCCTTCCCAGTGAGACATAGCAAGGCCCCCCACTCCAGGCGCCCCCCCCCCCATCCCCCACCTCAACCTGAATGTCCCCAGAGGCCTCCAGTAAATCCGGGGCCCCTCGGTTGACAGGTGGCTTTGCCTCAGCGGGACGGGCCGATACACTTGGCTGGTATGATCAGAACTCTGCCCTGAGAATTGGTGCCCAGGTGGGCGGTTTATCAGGGCGTCTAGGCTGCGCCTGGGCATCAGGCCTGCAGAGGTCCTGACATCAGTGGGTGTTTTGCCTGAGGATGGGAACAGACAGGGCATGAAGGGTGAGCTGTTTACACGGGTGCTCAAGTGGCGTCCACTGAATCTGGGGAAGGAAAAGTCAACAACGATGGCTGAGTTGATGACAAAGGAATTGGAGCATAGGTGTCAAGTGAGGTTTTCCTCTCATTCTTTTGTCCCCTGATGCATGTGAGCGACTTCCGACACCAACCACCTCACCAAATCCAGAGGCTTTCCTGTCCACGGGGGCCCTTGGGCTGCTTCACTGGGGACATTGGGTAGCTTCTAAAGCATGAGGGATGGAATGAGTCTAGTTAATCCCTCGTAAGTGCTGGTTCAAGAGCAGGGGCTCCAGGGCTGTGCTGGGTGGGTTCAAATCCTGGCTCTGCCGCTCAACAGCTGTGTGTCCTGAACAAGTGACTGCATCTCTCTGAGCCCCAGTTTCCTCATCTGTGAAATGGAGTCAATGATGGTACCCACCTCAGGGGGCTGATGAGATTTGAGAGTTAATCCCTGTGCCTGACACAGGGCTACTGTGCAGGAGGAGGGAGCTGTGGCTGTGGCGGGTAGTGTGTTAATGCTGCACGCCTGAGTGAGGCTCCTGCCCCATGTGGCCTGGCTCCAGCTGAGGGGCTACAACTCTTGGGCCAAGACAGCACGTGGTACCTGCAGAAGGGCCCAGAAGGCCTTCCCTGCTGCACTCCCCATCCTGCTGGGGTCTGGGTCCCAGGGGCGCACGTGCCCTGGTGGTGGCTGCCTGTCCCCTCCTGTTCTGTCCTAATCATTTCCATAGCAACTGGCGGAGTCAGATACAGAACTGCTTGCCTCGGGGGACAGAGGCGAAGCCAGTCGGGGCTGCGTTTGTGGGCTGCTCCGAGGTGTCTGCAGGCTCCATCTATTCTGCTCCCATGCTCCCTGCTGGTGTGGAGGACATTCCTCACCTCCCCCACTCCTCAGTGAAGGCTACGAGGTCTCCGGGGCGGCAGCTCCACTCCTCCTCATCTGTGGGCTTCCGCGTGGCGGGGAGGGTGATGCCAAGCACAGCAGCAGCCTGTCTCTTGTCTGTGCTGCCACCACCGTGCCCCCACACCCAGGGAGGAGGAAGGAGGGGGAGGAAGGGAGGGAGGTGGAGAGGGAGAGAGAGCACATGCTGGGAGGGAGCCGCCTAGAATATAAACCAGCTCGCAGGCTCTGTGCAGCTCGCGCATCTCTTTCCAGGGGCTTGCTCCGGGCTGGACAGAGGGCGGAGTAAGGCTGCACTGTGCCCATCTTTGCCCGTCCTTGGGCAGAAAGCCACTTCCCTGTCCCCAGGAGGGGAGCGTCACACACAGGGAGAGGAGGAGACACCGGGGGGGTGGCGGGGAGGGGAGCAGGAGACAACATGGCCCTTGGAAGAGCATGGGTTTGGGATTGGGCAGGCCAGGGTGTGCCATCCTGTGTGTCCCTAGGCAGGTTAGGGGACCTCTCTGAACATCAGCTGCTCATAACAGCTCCTGCGATTCTATGAAGTATCTGTCCCAGCTTACAGGTGAGGAACTGAGGCACAGAGAGGTGTGATGGAGAAATCGCTTGTCCAAGTTCCCCCAGAAAGCAGGAGAACTTACTTTCTCATCAGCAAAATGGGAGTAACAGCTCCCTCCCAGGGCTGTCATGAGGTTGCAGTTGAATTAAATGAACCCATTCTATGGGGGGCCTGGTGCAGTGGGTGCCTAGGGGACATCAACCTGTCCCCCCACCATGGTCTTGCATCATAGTGCCCAGACACAGGGCTGCTAATGTCCAGGTGGCCCCACGGGGAGACACACAGCCAGTCACCCCACCCAGGCAAGCACCCTGGGTCCACAACCTGGGCAAAAGGAAAGGGTTTGGTTTCTGGAATCTGCCAGTGGAGAGCCTTAGAGTCTGAAAGGCTCTCCTGTCTTCTTGATGGCCAGGGGCACTAGGCGCCTGGACCACCTCTCCAGCCAGCAGGTTCTCC